TCTTCATAACATAAGACCAATATACATAATTTTCACCATTTAATCTGACACTAATAGCTTGAAGAGAATCAGAATGCCCACTTGCCATAATGCTAACAAGAGGTCTTAGCAAAATAATACCCAAAATAAAAGAGAAAATAACAATAAATTCAGCAACACCCAATAACGAAAATCAAACAACCCAACAACACCAAATAACAATTTAACCCAGCAACACCAGTAACTATGCCCAGAAAATCACTAGTCACAAAGCCCAACAAACCAAAGTTCAATAATACAAAGCCTAGTAGATAGCAAACAAAATCCACAAAAACGTCAAGGCCCAGGGAAACAACAGCCCACTAGTGGATCAAAAGACCCACCGAATACCAACTCGACAAGAAGAAAAACAGTTCAGTGAGAATCATGAGGCAACAACAGCAAGAAATCGAAATCCAATCACACAAAAAACCAGAAATCCAACCACAAACCAGAAGTAAGAAACAGAGGGAGGCAGTCGGTGCATTTACTAGACCAGAAGCAACAAAATAGAGGATAGGAGTAGTTGGCTTTTGTGAAGACAAGAAACCAGACCAGAAGACTTACTAGATGAGCTCGAAACAAGAAAGGGAGCACAGCATTGAGAAGCCCATGAAGAATCGATTAAGGTGGTATTCACGGTCGGAGACTGATGACGTCATCGCTAGCGATGATGATGTCAGTACTATTTGTCGTGGGGGTTCACCAAGTCTTGGCATCGGTTTCAACTGGTTGTCTTCACGTCGGTTTCATCAGGTTCTCTTCTTCTAGAATTTAATCAGAGATTATTATTTGAGTTTAGAGATTAAGGCTCTGATACCATGTTGATGTTTATCAATGCAAGAGAAAAAATATATTGATTAAGTATAAACCAGGTCTATATCACAAACGAATTTATACTAGGGCAACAGAGTAATATAAATGACTAATCTACCCCTAATGCTAATATACTAGATTACTCTAACAGGTTTAACGATCGAATAATGAAATGCAAATTCACACATTTAAAGTTAGAGTCCCCCTAATCACAACTAAAGTTAGGTTTTACAAGTGTATTTGTTGATTTATATTTCCCATTAATAAGGGCATAATTTCATTAGATGACCAAAATTGTGTTATCAACAATTTGCAATGTGACAAAACCTACCTTGAAGTCGATTGTTTTAGGGTAAATTTTACAAACTTCAATGAAATAGTGCATAAACTATGTCACGTTCCAAATATCTAAAACGTGATAAAACCTACTTCAACTTGATTGTTTTATCCAAGTTTTTATGGGTTTCAATGAAATAGTGTATAAACTATGTTATAGGCTTCATAGAGAGTGCATATGACTTTAATAATATGTGTATTTGTTGGTTCAATGATCAAACAATGAGTAAGACATAAATTCACATATCCAAAGTTAGAGTGTTCCTAACCGAATATAATTCAAATTTAACCAATGGATTTATTGATTAAGATTTCTCATTAATAAGGATGTAATTTTACTAAATTATCAAAGTTTGGAACGTGAGAAACCTACCTTCAACTTGATTGTTTAATAAGAGCTTTTATGGGATTTAGTGTCATAGTGCGAAACCTATAACGTAAGCATGACATATAGTGCATATAATAATTTGAATAATAGATGTGTAAAAATTAATTTAGCGATCGAAGAATAAGCTAAATATATTTTTATACACCTGAAATTAAAGTCTCTCTTATAATAACTAATTTGAAGTTAATCAATGTGCGTGATTTACAATTGATTAGGTATGCCTGAGATTTGTGATATAATCATTAATCCAAAAGACAAACAATTAGGATATTTGTAAGGGAAAAAAAAAAAAAATTGTTAGTTAGTGGAGGCACCTGTAATACTTGCTCAATGGCCTTTGTTTTGGGCTTATCCTGATTGAATTGTTTATGGTATAAAGCAGCCGCAACAGGGCAAACTTTATTCAGAGCAAATAATAATTGAATACTGGAATGATGATGAGTACATGATCAAAAAAACAACCTCGATTACCGTGAATGTAATCTCCATTAAATCTTTTAAATCCATGCTGCAATCCACACAGCCACTCTGCAAGATGGCCCTCGGCCTCCTTTTTCTTACTTTTGCATAAAGAGACAATACTTGAAAGCCTTGAAACAAGGAGAGAGATGATGGCAGTCTTACAAACTTCTCTTTTCCGCATGACCAAAGCACAATTTTTTATTTCTTATTTTTAGAGGGTAAATTATACTTTATCCCCTTAAATCATTACCCTTGTTTTATTCTATACCCTCAACTATAAAATTTCTCACATTACACTATAAATTATCAATTTTATTTCATATCACTTCAATAGATAACGAATATTAAATTTTTAATGGTAAATGTACAAGTGAATGGTCAGTACTACCAATAAGTAACTGTATATTACACATAAACATGTCAAAAATTAAGAAAAATATTTATCCATGACTTTGCCGCCCTTCTTAAGCTCCAAATTTTCTTCTTCTGGCCGACCTTATTTTTCTTCCCAACAATCATTTGACTGAAAAAGATATAAAATAAACTGGTACTAGACACTTAACGAAAAACTCCTCCCTTATTTGACATATTTTCAAAATTATCATTATCTATTGAAGTTATATGAAACAAAGTTTATACTTTGAGGTACAATATGAGAAATTTTATAGTTGAATGTACAAAATAAAACAAAGATAATAATTTAAAAGAATAAAATATAATTTACTCTAGTTTAGAAGCATCGAAACCTTGTATTTATACATTTTGGATACGTGCAAATATCTATAGGTTATTGATACATGATTGACAAAGATATCTCTTATGAGACTCAAAATTTTAATCTCGAAATAATTATAGTCAAAATCCGGTTCTCCGAATCACTTTGACCTGGGTATCCAAACTTCATTTCTTTTTTTTCAAGTCATCAGATAGATCTCAACTCATGTTGTCCTGTCCTTTTTCCTTAATGCTCCTAAATTTATGGTTCCACAATGGAATTTCTGGTGTTCATGAATTTACAAATGGAAAATGGAAAATGGAAAATTTTTAAGCTGCAGGTCTACTACTTCTTTCCTATGACAAACTTCTTTTCTTTCCTTTTCTTTTACAAAAGTGTTCTTGTTTAATGCCATGAGCTAAACTCAAGCTACAACTGAACTATGAGGCTTTGGTGAAAACAAAATGGTTTGTGAAGTAAAAATTTAGGGTTAATAGTATTTTTAATCCTTAAAGTATGAATTTTTTATTAGTTTAGTCTTTATTGTATCTATTTGGTCCTTAAAATATTCAACTCATGTCACTTTGGTCCCTAATCAGATAATCCGTCAATTTTTTTTTATAAAAGTGATCACGTATCATTTTTTTAGATAGTATCACGTGTCCAACACATGATACGATATTTTTTTATAGTTAGACTTGCTCGGTGTAAAAGAATTGATATTGAAAGCAGAAAATAAGCACATTCTAATTTAAAATTTCTATTTAAAAATAATTAGCAGTTCTTCCCGTAGAATCCATATAATTGGTGAAAAATATAACTCCGAAAGCATTATAGTTTGGAAGTGTTGGTGGAACATGGTAGTCAACAAAATACAAAGCCAAATCTGCTGCAGCATTACCTGTCAGGGAAACAAATTTTCCTATGGATTTGCTTTTGTGGACTTCTATGATTAAATCTTTAGTTTAATTTCTTGGGATTCTCATATTACTTTGATCAATGCAGACCAACTAAAAATATGCACCAAAATCAATGATTGGAACATTTGATATCCTTTGGATCAGATGCCGAAATTTCATGTAAAGTATTAAACTATAGTTGCCACTTGCAAAAGGAACCCACAAATCCTATAAACAATGAAAAAACAAAACAAAGGAAAAGAGAAGAGAAGGGAGGAAAGCAAAGGAAAGAAAGAAAAAAAATTGTAGATTGCTGGCTTATTTATTTTCACTTTACCTAATATCATTCAAGCATGAAAATCAAACTCCGGAAAAAGATAAGAGGAGAGAGAGAGACAATACCAAGCTTGTCGGGAAGCAGCCATTGTCAAGACAAATGGCATCAGGCGTGCCTGCATACTCAAATAGAAGGGAGAACGGGGAGAGAGAGAGAGAGAGAGAGTACATTAGTACTTTTATACCTCCATACCAAGAACACCTTTGAAAAGAATCCTAATGACTCAATTACATTTAGCCAACTCATGGTACCAGCCATTTTTTTTTTCCTATTGATCCTGTATCAGCCATTCAATTTTCTAAAAGGAAAATATAGCACACCTTTTAAAACAAACCAGACATGATGATCAAATGGGCTTTAGAAAGTATCTCCAAGTAAATGTCATACACCTACTAAGTTTAATCAGAACCATAATTTCCCCTTTCTGAATTCATAAACACTTTCCATTAAAAAATATTCCTCAGACAAATCCTTGTATTAGTTAGTACAAACTACTCACCATACATAATGCTTAAGCGAAAGATCAAGTTTATACTCATTCTAATCCTACTCGCGTTGGCGCTTTTGATCAATCGGAACCAAACTAAATAAATCTCATCAAAAAAGAAATGATCAACACAAAATTAGAAAGGCGGAAACCAAACAAGATAAACTGATCAAAAATATATTTAAAAAAAAAAAACAAGATGCTTGCAAAATGAGAAACTATACCCGGATATATTTCTAGACTGCCTCCAATCGTCATGTAATGACATATATATATATATCACATTCCACCCAAAAAAACTGAAAAATACAATAAGCCCAATTTCCAGTTTCCAGTTTCTATAACCCCCACCAAAGAAAAAGCAGAAACAGAAAGAAAACATGGAGAGAACTAGATCTTCATGTTCTTAGCTCCAGACCTCAAAGGATTGCCATTAGTTTAGTCTTCTACAGTCTAAAAACCCCCCAAAAAAAATTAAAAAAAGAAAAAGAAAAAGAAAAAAAGAAAGACCTAATCAACTCAGGCCTAGTTTACATGGCTGTTCAGACTCTGAGCAAGTAAATACTAAGTTCAGGAGCTCCATTGCTATCAGGGTTCATCATATAGAATGCCTCAGAATCTCTAGACCCAACAACTCTCTCAAATTTAGCCCTCATATACATGAGATCACCATCAGACTCAGGTCCATCTCCTTCCCCTGGCAAAACACCAGCCCCCATTGAAATTGGCTCCACAGCTTTCAATATCTTCCACTCCTTAGCCCCGCATTCCCGCCTTGTCGCAAACCCACACTTCTTTCCATTGCAATAAGTTCTCCACAGAGGCTCCTCCACAAGTCTTGCCACCTTCTTCTCTTCATCCTTATCGCACTCCAACGCAATCCGAACCAATCCCGATGCCATTTCCCGAACCAATCCAGTTATTGGTGTGGCAAGTTCGACCAAGAACGCTGGTTGAGAGTTGGGATCTTTCTGGAATGCGAAATGCACATGCCCACGTCTATAGCCGAAAAGGGTACCTACCACTCGGGGTCCAAGACCATGTGGTAGGTACGATCGGTTCTTACCAAATGCTGTGAGAACCGATCGCAGCCTAGAAACTGCAATTGCTTGGAGTTTCTTCCTTTGTGCATGCACTGAAGTTGCCAGTTCAGGAATTCGCGCCTTTCCGTTCTCTTTTTTCTCTTCCTCACTGGTGTTTGAGGAAGCTTTGGCGGAAGGAACTTCTAATGGCTTTAGTGCAGGCACCTTATCGTTCTCCCGTTTTCCTTCTTGACCAGTGTTTAAGAAGGACTTGAAGGTTGGGAACTCATCTTCATTGCTGACCTTGGTTGTCCAGTGGAACTGCCTCTTAGAGGGCAAGTCTTGGGAACTCTTTGCCATGGTTGTCTTCATCTGAGAAAGAAAATCAAGGGAAGGCAACTCCTTAAAAAATGTAGGTGGAGAGAGGGGGGGGGGCAAAGAAGGAGAATCTGGTTTGTTTCTTTTCTTTATTAAATCGATTTGTGGGGATCTAATCCTGACAAAGAAAACATGAGCTACCCCACAAACTGTGATAACATAGAAGAACTGGGCAGCTACAGAACAAACAAACACAGAGGGAGGGAGAGAGAGAGAGGGGGTTTGAAATAAAGAAAGGAATCTGGGAGAGACAGCGTATGTGTTATTTCACTTTCTAGTGGGGTAGGGAGTGAAAGGAGTTGCTTGACTGACTCTTTTTTGACTTGAATCCAAACGCAGTAAAAAAGAAAGGGGTGGTCACAAAAACAACAGGGAAAGCAGAGCCATCACTATTTATGCTAAGGCAGACAGCCTTCCCAGACCCAAACCCACCGTTCTGCATAATGTCTTGTCTTCTAGTGTTATATTATAACGTGCGCCGGGTGATGTTGGGTTCAATAATTCCCACATTATCATCTGTCCAAATTGGCTTCAAACCTGTGACTATGTTACATCCTAATCCACCACCAACAAACTGCACAAACATGACGTAGGTGTTAAGAGTGCCTAGATTCTTCTGGCCAATGATACGGGGATGACAATATGCATCTCACCAACCCACAAAAGTGAAGTGATGAACAACTCGGGCCCACCAAAAGACAGGTAGTCGGCTTTGAGTCACATATATTTCTTCAAGATCGACCAATTAACGTTGAATACAACGTCAAAGACAATATTCATTGTATACTAATGACATATATGGAATATTCGCAAATATGTTTTCAATACATATTATTTGTACCTAATAATAATTAAATATTTAAATATTGTGTCGACACATATCCTCTATGCATATGCTTTGGGTATGAAAGTGTATATGCAAACGATATATATAACTTTTAATTTTAATCATTGTCTTTTTCTCATAAATCCACTTATAATACAATACATAAAGAAAAATGCATACAATTTTAAAGGCACATGAGTAATTTCATACATATTATCTACTATCATGAGTCAAAAAAGCATGAAATATGTTAATTATACCAATCTCTTGGGAACAAGCATTACAATAAAAAAAAGTTGTTGCTTAACGATTTAAGCAAACCAACTTTTTAAATCTTGATTCTAATTTCTTTAATTAGTCATGTTCTCTTTAGGGATTTACCATATATTGTTATATAATTTATTACAAATTATATTTATCAAGTTATCGTATAGTAGTAAAAATATAAAAATTATTTTACTATAGATGTGTTCTATATATATCTGTAGCTTTATTTTTCAAGTTTTGTCGTATCGTATTCATATATGTGTTTCTTATATCAGTAATGCTAGACTGATCAAATTTTGGGATCAAATTTAGAGTTCAAATGACATGACAGTTGATTAGGGTTTCTTTGATTGGTGTCATGTCATTTGGACCTCAATAAAAACTTTAAATAATCAACTGTCATGTCATTTGAGCTTCAAATTTGGTCAGTGTAACATTACTCTTCCTATATACTTAGCTAGAACATCAATCCTCTACACATTAACCCATGACGCCATAACAAATCTAATGTGACATTGTTATAATTGAATATTTCCCGACATAAATTTTAATGTGACATAAGCCACTATTACAAAATATGAGGCTAGATTTCAAACACTGCTAGTTAAACAGGTGGGATTAGAATAGGTATATTCGACGAATTTGAACCAATAACTGCTTTAAAATCCAGTTTGGCCCCGTGGGTTGACTCAGGTGAAAGACTTATATACTAAAATCTTATTTTTTGTAACAAACCTCAGTTTATTATTTAATAAATTTCTTTGTTTTCCATTTCAATGAGAATCTGTGTGGGTAGAATATTTGCATTATATTAAATATATATGATATGTATTTGTGTCTCTTATTTTACATTGTAGATAATTTGGTGTATAGAATTTAGTTTATATACATAAGATCAGATTATCATATACTTGTATAATACAAGTAAAGGTATACAGTTTTAGATGTAATTAAACACACCATCAGTATGATTGTAGTGAAATCTTTTGACATAATCTGTCTTGGTTATAAAAGACTGTCTAATGTCTCGAATTGTTGCATTAGTACATTTTTGTGTATTGGATAGGACCATTAGTGAGATTATTTTCTTTTTACTGAATAAATAAGAAAATAAATACCTCATAATTATTATGATTACTTAAACACTTAATCATGAGATATTTAATTAAAACATTTATATAATGATTGTTACTTTAATTCATAAAACAATGAGATTCATATTTGAGTTAACAAACTCAATAAGTTGAGAGATACCATTATTTGTATAGTAAAAATTAATTATTAAAAGTAATCGCATCATAGTATTTAAATGACTTGATGATGTCTTTTTAAGGAAGCTCATAAGTTTTGTCCATGTTAAACCCTATAGGTGAATTTAATTATCTGACATGATAAGTAAGTTGAGTGGTAATATCTCAAGGATAAAAAGAAGTCAATTCAATATAATTGTTAGTAATTTAATTAATTGACGAACGTATGTAATTTTAAATGTGGGAGATTATTAAGCATATAATAATGAAGAACTCAAAATATAATTTTAAGATAAGGCCTAGAAGATCAATAATAAATTTTTAGTGGATTAACTTATTATTAATGGTTTATATGATGTTTGTTTTAAGTTGGACATAGGATTCCTAGACCCATTAGAAGTTCGGCCTCTTTATTTCTCCTTATGTAGCCGATAAATAAATGCACTCCTTGGTTCTCTCACCCATAACATTTATCTTCACGTTTAGAAAGACAAAGATAAAGAGCAAGGGAGAGAATTCAGAGTATTGTAACCCACATTGCATTCGGATTTTTGGCGGGGAAGGATATACAGTAGAAGATCTTGAGGTTTATCGAGCATGTTGTTCGATCTGTATCTGTTCTTCATTCGTGCGAATCTGTTCGTCAAAGGTAAATCGTAATTCCACTTTATAGGGTTAATAAACGAGTAAATTTTTTTGCAGTCAATTATACGTGCCGTCAACAAATCTTGGAACTGCAGTTCCAACAAGTAGTATCAAAGCCTTCGTTGATACCATGTATATATTGAGTATAACCATTTTGTCCAAGTAAGCGATTAGATATATATCATGATTGATGGGTAGAACGTAGAATTGTATTAATCTTGGTTTTGCAGTGTTCTTGTCCCTCTATTATGGTCACATATTTTTTTTATCATTTTATGTTATTGGATTCCACGTTTGTTTATTCGTGGTTAATATTATTTAAAGGATTAACACGATAAATACTCGTGTTATATTATTGATGGTAGTATTTGAACTCCCTCGTTGAGGCATAGAGTCATGTATTAATATTTTTATTTTATTTTATTTTTTGTATGGGATTTCCTGTGGAAGACGACTGTTTAGAAGCAATTTTTCGCAGTGCAAAATTGATTTTGCAAAGAAGGAACTATTTCAAAAATCGTTTAGGTTTTGGGAGCGTTGCACCAAGTACTTGCCACTTGACTGGGCAGTTGATAGTAATCCTGTCATGCACCACTATGATAAGGTGACATAAGTTTCTCCTAGGGTAGCAACATGGAGGTGGTTGGATTCATCAAGGATTGCATTGCTGCAGACTCCTTATTCCATTGAAATTGAAGACAAAATCATAATAGTTGAGACTCTTTATTTATGAAGTTTCTTAAATAATTGAGACTCTTTGTTTAAATAATTTCCTAAATAATTGACACTTTTTGTTTAGGCAGTTTCCTTATTTATGTTAATCTCTATTTTTTTATTATTCATGTATATCTTGATTGCATAAGCAATCAATTATATAATAGTACCCTAACATATAGGCGACATGGATAATTGACCGACTTCGATTATTTTTCATGGAATAGTATTTTAATTTATATTTATTTAAATTAAGGATGTTCAAATATGTATATATAATTAGAAAATAAATTTAAAATTTCAATTTCTGTATGGATAAATTTGAGAATTTTATATTTTATTTATTACATGTATACATACTACATATAAAGATGGGATAATTTGGTATCTTTATAAATATGTCAAACATCCTTATATTTTATTTTAATAAAAATTGGATACAATATTTTTTGATAACCCTCACAAAGTATTAAATAACTAAGTGAGAGAGAAAATTTATTTTTTATAAATCCCACATCCTCTATTAGTGGTTTGTAGTTGATGTAATTAATTTTGCGTGTTGGTTTTAGTGCCTTCCTATCCACCAAATAAAATTAATTATAGAATTACCGGTACAAACTTCCTAAAAGGATAATTTTGGGTTATTGCTAATGTGGACTCACTTTTCCTTCTGAAGGGGCTTATTAAAAAATAATTAACACAAAATTAAATAATTGTATACTCTTTGCTATAAATAGCAATATGCTCTCTATCTAAGTCACTGTTGTTATTTATAGAACTAAAGTTAAGCTAGCTATTTAATTTTATTTCTCACGATATAGTGGTTAGAAAGTAAAGTTAACAGACAATGGCATGCCTGCATAAATGAAGGATAGTAGACGTTCTCCCTATCGATGAATGCTATTCACAGTGATTCAGGCTATTGGCGAGTTCGTTTAAAATTGGTACAGGGAACCAATTTAAATTTGAATTCAATATTTTTTATTTTGCCCATCATAATTTTTAATTATGTAATTTTTAGATTTTGAAATGGCTTCATTCAATCCTATTTTTGTTATACTTAATGAACACAAACTAACTGGATCAAATTATTTAGACTAGAAAATAAATTTAGATATTGTGTTGACTACATAGGAGTACAAGTTTGTGCTCACATATCTTTGTCTGGATGAACCCAGTGAGGGGGCAACCGAACAAGAAGTCCAAGCTCATCGGAGGAGGAAAAAGGTTGATGAGATGGCGCGGTGTTACATTTTGGCATCTATGTCAAGTGTGCTGCA